GAAAACAATACCACAACATGTCTACAAAGGAGTAGCTACCATATATAATTTCCACAACATGTAGAATTTTATAATTGGACATAACGGGCACATCAGTGTTTGCGTGTATTAAACATTATATAGTATAAAAGCAGCAATGTTAATTATCTCTTTACATATGTTAGGCAAACGGTGTGATTTTATGAGTCACATGAAACGAGTTTATCTGCAGACACACACGTACCACTCATAACCAAATAAAGTAAACAAAAATAGTGCTGCGAACTCATGAGCATGTGACAGACAAGCATCCCATAATTGGCTCCATATTTTGTTTCAGTTTTCACTTGCAGGCGTGCATATACATTGACCACACCTACTACATTCATTCCAAAATTGCTTAATGTAATGCATAAATCTGTTAGGTAAGGATACACATACCATCATTTTCTCAAAAATAACAATAATTTATTTTAAGATTATTGCTTAGTCCCTGAATTGAACAAAAAATCTCTAACATCTCTTTCAATACCACATGCATCTTCCCACAAACGGTTGCCGCATAAACCAAAACTGCCTTTTAATTCCAAAGCGGCAAAACCAGTCTCTCCATTTTTAGCATAATTAACATTTATTATTTTTATTCTTTTAATCTTTTGCCTAATTTTGATTAAGAAAGCCTAACCACCAATCATTGGTTGACACATAACGACGTTTATCATATAGCATTGAGGCTCTCCTTAACTTTAATTGTTTTTTTTTTAAGTATTTTTATTTATTTAATCCCGAGACCTAACCAAATAAGTCGGCTTTTGTTTTATACACTGTTTTAGCCTCTCATGCATTTTGGGTCTTTTCTTAGGGCCGGACTTGGCCCATAAAAACTACATTCCAAAGTCTTATAAATTTATAGATGAAATCTAACGAATTTGACAAAAAAAAGGTCAAACCTCCACTGGTGAGCTATATTTGTCTTTTACTTTCCTTGACAGAATAATATCTTTGGCTAAAGTTCATTTTGTATGTTTCTAGCAAAAAATTTGCTTTTGAAAAGCATGAGAAATTGTATGTCATCAGGAATTAGAACTGTTGTGTATTAACTTTTCTTGAGAAAAATGTTGGTTCCCTTATTGTTGGAGCCTGGCAATTACAAACAACTAGCTTGTAAAATATTAAGCAGCCATATATAACACTGGAACTATACAGACTACTACTTGATGTCTAGACAAAAGCAAGCCATCATTAAGCACAAAACCAAAAGGAAAAACAAGACTACTTTGGACATTACTATCCACTCGTTTTATTTCCCATTGTCAACCATTATCTTTATGTTTGAAAGTTTATTTTGCTCTTTGACAGTTTTTGAAAATACAAATCATACTGAAAAAAGAAATCGCTCTTCGAAAAAATTTTGTTATCGCATTAGAAACTAGTCGAAATCAAATCCACTGCATTGTTGCACACATTGTTTTATTTTGTTGGCTATCAATTAGCTTTTGGATTTTGATAATATTTACATTAGCTATTTTATATGAATATTCACTTTAGATTTTTTATTAGGAATTTCTGCAACTTTTGTAATCTAAGATCGAAACATTCTAAGGGTAACATTTTTGCTGTTTACTTAATCGAATTGAGTATTTATTTTCTGGCCCCCGTTTTCTTAATCACTGATAATATTTTCATGCAAAAATTGAGGTTGAGGTTGTGGATAACGGGTGTAGATATTGTTTGGTAATTAAAATATTACTGAGAATCTAAATGCTTATTTTATATTTATGTTACGTGATTTATTGAAAGAGTAAATTCGATTTCTAAATTTAGGTCTTAATTTCAAAGATGTACATGCTATCATATAAGTCATTTAAAAAAAGTTAATCGCCAAATTAATCTATCAATTTATAAAATATTATCATATTATTTTTTATTTAAAATTATTAGTTTGCTAAACGATTAACATACAATATTTTGTGTCTGAGAAACTTATTTAGTATTAAAAATTGTTGAAACAAAATAATGAGATGTTGTGTCTAATTTATGAGGGTCAAATTGAATTAGGGCTAAATGTTAATTTGAAAGAATGAGCAATAATACATTGTATAGATCATTTTAAATTGAAATAAAATGTAAAAATGTAAATAAAAAATGTATATTAAATTATAAATAAAATGTGATCAATTAATTTAAATTAAATATAAAAATTAAAAGAATATATAATTTTATGAATGTAAGAATATATACATAATAAATTTGATAATTTTGAATTTATAATTTAGAATAAACAGGAACAGCATGCCTTTATCTTCACAATTTAATTGTCTCAATGTAGGATTTATTTTTGCCAAAGATTTGTTGGAAAATTATAAACATTGAAAATGAATCTAACCGTGTCAGCCACTAAACTCAAAATTTAATAATAATTTAAGTTTTGTTTGGGATATTTTTATTTGAAATTTTTTTATTATTTTTCAAAAAATATATTGGAAAATTTTTATTTTTATAATTTTTTATTCCTTTTTAAAAAATCTCTATCTGTGAATTTTAAATTTTCAAATTTTTTTAATATTTAAAAAATAGATATTGATAATTTTTAAAAATCATATTTCTGTTTTTTTTTAAATACTATTTTTTAGTATATATTAGTTTTAAACAATAAATATAAAAAAAAATTCTTTGTTTTGAATGAACAGATAAAATCAAAAAATTAAAAATAAAGTAAAAATATGTATTGTTCAAATGAGTAAAAATAGAAAAAAAAATATAAAATATTTGTTTGAATGAGTTAAAAAGTGTAAAAAAATAATAAATAATTTGTATAAAATGTATTTGTGCAATAATATAAAAATTAAATTAAATTGATATTTTAAAATAAGATAATTATGTATTATTTTATTAATATCATGAAATACATTTTTACTATTTTTAAAAATTATTTAAAATAAAATGAATTAAAAAAAACTAAAAATTCACCCTCCCCTATTATGCAGTGTTCATTTTCTGGCTCCATTGAAAAGAAAAAAAAATTGTTAGTCCTGCTTCCCTATTTTCTTTCCTCATACCAAAAATTTTTATAATTAATCTTTGATAAATTATAACTAAAAAAATTAACACTACATTAAAAATATATTTTAATATACTCTGGTTAAATCAACGTTAAAATTATAAAATATTCTTTTTCAGACATTATCTTGCTTTTTTTTATTTGAAGGGTATAATTTTTTTAATTAAAAATCTCTTTAATTACTAAAATGAGTGCACTGAAAATATATATTTATACATACACATTTTGTAAATTTAACAAATATTTTAAACTTCACAAAATATATGTCTTTTTCGCAATTAGTATACCTATATAATATTGAAGAAAATATTTTCTTTTATCAAAAGTCTCATAGGAAATTCTTATTTTACGTAATAACGTTTAGGACCCTTTATAAATATATTTTTTGCAATGCTAGAACCTCTCGTATTATATATATATTTATTAATTTGGAAGGTGAAACATTATAACATTGTAACTGAACAAACAATTTAAAGGTCAATTGATTTTAATTAATTCCAAAATATTACCTGAAAGTTCAAAAACATTTTATAATTTAGTTGGTATTTATCTTAAAAAATAAAATTTAAAGGTGACAGAACACGATATATTATCATTAATTATTAATTAACATACCTGTAATTTATGTATTATCTTGAATGGAGTTTTCAGTTAAGAGAAAGGAGTGTGTATTGCGCACAGTGTCCAACGCGTGTCTCGATCCTCGGGGCAAGGAACAGTGAAACAAAAAGAACCCAGAGACGTAATAATATTATAGAACCGAATTGTAAATGGCGGCGAATTCTAGGTTGCCAGTCACGTTATGTTCTATCCGTAGCTGTAAAAAGCTAAATATAAAATCTACGTTTAAAAGAAAACCATGAAACGTTTTCACTTGAGACTCTTCAAACACAAATTTACCAAATTACCCTCATGCAATTGTTTGGGATATTGGAACACGACGTTGAGGGGCAAAGATCGATTTGAGAAAAAGATACTTTTGATTAGTCAAAACAATTAGACTGACTAAATGCTGATAAGCCGAGTATCTTGGGCTCACGTGACAATTATCACAGTGTTCGAGATTAAACACCCATTGCTCACAACAGTTGTTTTACTGTGTACTCCAGATCTTTTTCGGAGTCAAATTAAACCACGCCAAAATTGCAAATATAACGCTCCTTCACCATTTGTTTGAGTTTCCTTTTATTACTTTTGAAAAAATAAATGTTAAAATGGAGATAAATTTACTGAAATCACATGAAAAAAAATGGTTAAAAAGATAATAAAATTGAATGATTTTAGAAGAAAAGGAAAATGCCGGTATCTCCTATTTCGGCTGTGGGATCCTATAAAACAGCAATATCGGTGTTTCGGTCTTCTCAGCAACTGAACTATTGTTTCTTCCCTCCGAGCTATTACCCATTCAACCGCTACATAATACTCGTCACTTTCTTCTCTAAACGCCACGCCACGCCACGCCACGCCACACATAATCTGCATCCTTTTTCCTTGGCTTCTAAATCCAGAGATTTTCCTTTTCCAAGGACACAAAAAAGAAGTTTCAACGAAGGTCGTCTCCTCCAGCTATAGTTACTCAAAACACTAGAATCATCCTTTCAATAATTCTCTTTTATGCTTCTCTTTTAAAGTGTTTTTGAAATCTACAGCACGAGATGTGTCTTGCTTTGTTACCATCACTGTCACCACCCCACAAGCTTAAAGCTCTTTCTCCTTTATTCCCCTCTTTATCTCCCAATTCCATTCCTCACTCAAACACTCACTCCTTCACGTTTTAATACTATTAATTACACAATTACTCCTTTCCTTTTTCATTTTCACCTCCTTTCAATTCCCACCTTTTCATGTCTTTTTTGCAGATTTCTGCATCCAAAAGCCTCAGTCTTCTTTCTCACAGATTCCAAAACCCCACCCTATTTGTTCATCCAAAACCCCAACTTGCTTCCATACAATACAAACCATGGAACAGAGCATCCAATGCAAATACACTCTGCACCAAACCGTCACAAAAAAACTCGTAAAACCAAGAAAGCCCTCTGACTCCATTCAAAACCGTTCCATTTCCACAGTTTCAATATCCGTAACCGATCCATACGCCACTGACTCATCCAGCGACGAAGAAGAACTAAAGCACTTCCCTCGCCAGAGAGTGAAGCGCTATATCCACCGAATCAATTTTCAACCTGCAAGCAAAACCCTCACATCCAAAAAGAGACCCGCCGGAGAAACCATTTCCCGCCGCCCGCCGCCGAAGGTCTCTGTTTCCGGCGATTCTAGAAAGTACCGCGGCGTGCGGCAAAGACCATGGGGAAAATGGGCGGCGGAGATTCGAGATCCCACGAAACGTGTCCGTCTCTGGTTGGGAACCTTCGACACCGCCGAGGAAGCTGCCACGGTTTACGACAATGCCGCAATTAAACTTCGGGGCCCCAACGCGTTAACGAACTTCATCACGCCGCCGGCGAGAGAAAAGCCGGCGGAAGATGAAGTTTCCACTGGAAAACCGAAAATGAAAGTGGTTGTTAAATCAGAGGCGTCTGGCTCCGGCTACGACTCTGGAGATGAATGTCTCAACCTTTCTTCGCCTACTTCGGTTCTCCAATTCAACGAACCGCAAAAACCGGTTAATGCTGAACAGGTTAAGATTGAAGAGTGTGAAGGTGAGACAATGTGGTTTCACGAAACCAGTGAGTTTTTGCGACCTATTTGGGATGATGATGTGTTTAATTTTCCAACCACGCCAGAGTACTCGGTCATGTTTGAAGACCCTGTTTCACACATGTTTGACGAAACGACACCGGTTTTGTTTAGTGATGTTTCAAGTGATACTGTGAGTTTTGAGGAAAAGTACTCGCCATCAACGTTGTGCCAAGTGGACGATTATTTTCAAGATATTTTGTTAGGTTCAGATCCTCTTGTGGTGCTGTGAGACTGAAAATTATCAAGTGGTTATTGCCGTCGTTGGCTGCTGATTACAATTACTCGGCAGAATTTTGTTCCGGTGGCAACGAAATCCCAGAAAGAGCTAGTTTATAATTTTATCTTTAGCTTTGAATATTAGTTTTTTCTGCGTATTATTTATTTGGTCGAGAAATTCCGTCTACTTGTTTAGTGAAGGGAGGGGATTGAGTAAGTTTTGTTTAGATTTTTATTTATATTTATATTTTTCTTTGCCTAATAATCGGGGGTTGTTGAGAATGTAACATAATGTCTATTTCAATCCGAGTGTATGAAGTTCTTTCCAACTCTGGTGTGATTCTGGTTGATGCTTGACTATTCAATTTTTTGACCCATAACAAAACGATAAATATAGGTTCTGTAGGAGACAACACAACAAAGGATCATGTATGAATCGGCTCGTGTCGGCGGTGATTGCGGTCGTAACCGACTGGTCTGTGGTGTGAGGGGTGGATGTGGATGGTGGCGTGAATCTGAGACCCTGCAGATTTTTCAAAACACTTTTCTAAAACCCGTTTTGATAGTTCCTCGTGCTTAGTGAGGTGAACACACTATACAACTCTTGACTCGAGTGCTTTTGGTGCAAGTACAATGCTGCCGCAAGACAAACTCGTTAAGACTAGAGAGGGTACACAACAAGTGAGTTTGTCGGGATTGGACTTTGCTTCGACCTCAAGAAAATTAAAATAATTAAGTATTCCTTTTAAGCAAATATAAATCTATATTTTAAGTCATTTAGATAAGGAATTAAAAATAATTATATTAGTGTACATTTTTTATGATTTCTAATTTCTTTTAATATAAAATTTAATATATTTTATTATTCTTTAACAATGACCTTCTTTTTATTTTCTAATTAGACCATAATTTGGACAACTTTCGAATTGAGCGACAATTAAATCAACCCCTTTTTTGTCTAAATAAACTACTGATTTCGACAACCTTTAAATTGTTAAGATAATTAGACATTCACCATTCACCAAGCCAAATACGCAACACATAGAAAACCAGCGTGATCACTTTACAATATATGTAATAATTTTATTCATAACTTAAAAATATAAAAAGTAATAAATGAATTTTTATGATTTAGTTTGTTATAAAAATATTTTATCGTAGAGTGAAATTGGTTTAATATTAACAATATTCGTGTTAAAATATAAATTATAAAATGATTAAATAAATAAAATATTTATGTATAAATCAAAATATTATATATGACGATAAAAGGATATTTTTTAAAAGAATGGTCTAAATGGAAATAGTTTGTAAATGAAAATGGTTACCTAAATTAAAGTGTCGTTGAAGACAAACATAAAAATATAAGTTAAAATTTGCATATCTTGAAATTTATACCATATCTTATAAATTTATTTATTTATTTTTTGTAAAATCTCTCAAGATTATTAAACTTATAGAGCTCAATTTTAAATTAATAACGTTCTCAAAATTATTTTAAAAAATATTCCATTAAAATCTCTTGCAAAATTATTTATTTGCTACTATTTTTATAATATTTTATTCAAAATTATTAGACTAAAATCGTTTACAAAATATTACGATTTCTTCTATTTTATAAAATTATTGTGATTGTTTCTTTTATTTTATAAAATTGATTAAAGTTTCCGTCCTTGCTCTTAATTATGCTTTGATTTGCAAATCACCACGTGCCTAATATTTGTATCATTTTGAATTAATTTAAGGCCTTCGGGTACGCATTTTCTCATTAAAAATTAGAATTTTTTTGGTGAGTCTCGTTCTATATATCTTTTGAGTTTTTTTATTTTTTTTATTTTTTGTAATATTTTATGAAAACAAGATATCTCTCTAAGTATTATTAGAGTAAGGTATTTCTCTAGACTTTAAAGTAAGATATCCCGATGTATTTTAGGGTGAAGTGTCTCAAAATTTTATAAAAGGATATTATAACGTTTAGTTAGTGAAAAGTTGTCAAAAGGAAGCTTCAAATTTAAACATAAGTCATTTTTGGTTGATGGTGAAATAGAATAAATAACTTTGAGTTTCTCTTGCCATTTTTTTTCCTTCATTTTTTACATACATTATATGTGTTTTTTTACGTTAAAATTTTATATTCCTATATTTCATAGATAATAAAATTAACAGGCTCAATACTCATTAAGTATTATTCGTCAAACATTCAATAAGTTATTTATGAAAATTTTAATTTTCTCTCTCTAAATTTAAACTCAATTCACATTTTTCTTGAATTTAGGGTCATCTGAGTTACATAATCACAAAGGATGTGCTAAAATTATTAAAAAAAATGAATATATTCAATGAAAGGATGTAAAAATATAAAATATAATTAAAAATTATTAAAATTTAAAGAAATTTGATGATATCAACATTTATATACTAATACGCCTGATATAGATAATATAAACATTTATATACTTATATATAAAAATTTTATTCCGATAATAATTTTTCCATTATTAATATATGAAAAGAATTTTAAACAAAGTTTGTCATTTATCTAAATGTTATATTTGTATGATTTTGACAGTGATATAATTTGATGAGAGCGGAGATAATTTTGTAACATGATATATTATGTTTTTATTTATTTATTTTTATTCTTAAAAGATATAAATATTATTTTTATAATTTAATTTTATTATATTTTATGTAAATTTACCCCTATATTTTTTTATCGAGCAGGCAAGTTCGTTTTACTGATTCTAATTTTAATGATAGTTTTAAGAAACATTCATAATTTAAATTATTATAAAAATATTCAATTAAAATTTGTTCAATAAAAAGATAATTTAGAAGACAAAACTGGATTTGACTTTTAAGTTAAAGAGGAAAACATTAATTTTGTCTACATATAAATAAAAAATAAAAGAATTATTTATTTTTTAATAATTTAATTATCTTAATTATTAGTCTTATGATTATTTTTATTTATGTTAATTTTAGACTTTTGACATTTCACATTGATAATGGGACCAGGTATTCTACGTGTAAACTTATAAATAAAAATTATATCAATTGTTATAATGCCTTAGTTGCTTTAATCATAGAAATTAAAACTTAAAACGAGAATATAATTTAATCTTTGAAAAAAATAATGACTAAAAATTAATACATAACATGTGACTTGAAAATATCTTATTTCTATCAGAATATGCAATTATTATATGACTAATAATAATTCTTAGTGAATTGTACATGTATCACTAAAATAAATTAAATTATCTTAAAATAAATAAATAACAATATATTATAATGATATTTAAAAAATTAAACATTATAGTTATTAATAATAAATATTCTATTATATAAAATAAAATTAAAATTAAAATTAAATTATGGAAAAATTAAAATGAATATCTAAAAATATTTTCATTTGAAACTATTTCTAAAACCACTTCTATTTAAAAATATTTTTATCGTAAATTATATATATATATATATATATATATATATATATATATATATATATACACACACTAGTTTTGTAACCATGCAACACACAAATATTTTATTTTAAGATAAATATACATATAATTTAATAAAAAATTATAAATACGAAATATCAAAATATATTATAAAGATCAAAAGATATAAAAATTAATAATTTTTCATAATTATAAAACTAATCAATATAATATTGTGATGTAAGTTTTGTTAAAAGTGTAATTTTTATGTATCTTATTGTGTTAAAAAAAGATATACATATAAAAAGTTAAAGTATACACATTCTATATATATATATATATATATATATATATATAATATTGTAAAAGATAAAGAAGAGTTAAAAATATTTTAATGTTAAAAAAATTATTATAACTAACCGAAGAAAAAATTAAGAGAAAATGTTTGAGAACAATGCAAATTTTAAGGGGGAAAAAAACAGATAATAGTGATACACTACTTGAAATTTGTGAATATTAATGGCATGGACTTGTCAGTAATTACCAACGTAATTTCTTGCCTATTATTTCCTTTTTGTATTATTCAACTTGTGATAATGAATTTTGTTGATGTCGATAAATAATGGTGCCATTGTGCTCCAAATGACATGCACAATTTATCAACAGAGTACTTAACATTTTACTTTTATTTATTTTTTCTCTAAATTACTAACGGATTTCATTATGAGTTTCACTTATATGTTACTGATGGGTGAACTTGTCGGGAACTCGTGAATATGTTGCTCTTCCACGCTTTTTCTTCATTTCACTCTTCACTGTATCTCCCTTTGCATTGTTCTTGCTTATTAGTCATTGTTCATCGCCATTAGAGCTCTGTTTCTGAAACAAAACCATCGTTACAATTTAGATACATTGGTGAACATTTTAATTGGTTTAATTTTTTGATTTAGCTTAATTTTCAGTTTGTCTATAGTTTTCTATCTTAATGCATTAGAAAATGATTATTGTTATTATTTTATTAATGTACGTGTCGTATTGACTTCTTGACATTGAGTTATTGACGTTGACAACGGATGCTGAGAGTAATTTTCATTTTTCTTATTTTATTTTATAGTTTGTATATAAAATATTTATAATGGTGTGAAATTAAATATTTTTCATATTGAATTATTATATAAATAAATTAAAAATAATAAAAATATCATGTAAAGGATCAAACTGAGAGAAAAAGGATGAATACGGAGAATTTTGAATGATTTCAGAAATTGATTATTATTAAAAAGTTAAATTTCTAAAATACAAAAGGTTAAGAGTTTATAAAAATAAATCTATTAACTGAAAGACAACAAACTAACAAAATCAGCATAATTTTCTAATGACAGTTGTGATAACATCTTAATAGAATAACTAATTTTAGCTTATTTTGAGTTCCTTAATACCCCTTTGCAAACTCATGGTAGGCCTCTTAATTATATTGAGTTTGGGTCTTAAATCCAAAAATATGGATGTAGCAAGAGTTTTTGTTAACAAATTTGCAATTTGATACTTGGAAGGAATGTATTTGACT